AGGCCAGGGTGGGAATCACCGAGCTAGATGGATTTCAGCTTTTACCAGGGCCTAGGCCAGGCTAGGTATGCATTATGAAGTTCAGTAGCTCTAGGGTTATTAAGACTGGAATTGCAGGTGAGCTCTATAAATATAACTATGGCCTATGGAAAACTAAAATTATCATTTGGTCCATGAGAAAGCTGCAGTTGAAACAATTTGCTTATTGGTGGAATAAAGAATTTGAGTACATGCTCTAATTTAGTAACCCTTAAAATTTAACTTCTTCAAGGGCATCAAGAAAATAATGTCCGCCGCAATAGGTCATCTAAAGACAAGAAATTATCCCTCAATACCTTCTTGGCTTCCTCAGCTGTAACAGAACTTCCAGAGGCTTCATCTTTGGTGATCAGAGTAATTCCATCTAAAAAAAGTAATTCGCACAGTAAAATCCAAGCACACACACACAAGATCAATCCCAATCCTGCTTTCCTTTCTACCACACCTCCTCCCACCATTGTGCTAGAGACTTTTAAAACTATAAAGGTTCTCTGGTTTATGAAAATACATAAAATGATATAAGCAATTAATTCACATTGTTCATTCCATCTTACATAATCCTGTCTCCTATTTTTGCTTGTGTGATAAGCAATAAAAGCCACATCTTAAATGCTACCTGCTCATGAAGCCTTCCTTGATCAATCCAGGTAGAAATAGTTTCCTCTTCTTCGGAACTGTCAGATCACTTTGTTTATCCCTTTGAAATGGTTCTCATCATATCTTATCTTGTATAACTATTTGTACAAATGTTACCTCTCCTAATGAGAGCAGGGACTAAGTTTTACACATCTTTACATCTCCCTCAATGTACAGTAAGTCCCTACTTAACTATCGCCGATGGGTTCTTAGAAATTGTGACTTACAGACAGCAGGTCCTTGAATAATGTCTTCTTGTTATAATGTTCATGAGGAAAAAAATGGGTTTAATTACACATCATTTTGCTTAAAGTCACAGTTTTCAAGAAACTTTGACAATGTTAAGTGAGGACTTACTGTAGTACACAGCAGAAGCTCAATAAATAAACGATAATTTGAATGACTCAATGCTTTTGTCCAAACCATATAGTATACAATATGGACCTCTTCATACATTTTAGCTTGTAGCAGTGTTACTGGCTATTGATGGAGTGGCCAGAGGATTAGGGCAGAAGAAAATGCTCTTCAGCAGCGGCATGTCTATCATTTAGCTCAGTGACAGCAAAACAAGGACAGAAAATTGTTCCTTTAGTTTTCTCTTCTTCCAAAGAGTTTTTTCCATGTCAAATGGCTGGTGCATGATACACTTTCAGAAAAGAACATACTTTTAACATCCATTTGTACTTTTGAATGGCGTAGGTCATTTGTATTCTCCCAACAGCACATAAACTATCAGAAAATATGTATCTTGTGTAGGTCCTGTAAGTTTCTTTTTCTGCAAATAGATATGCTGTAGGCATTCAATAAACACAAAAACCAGTCTCTTTCATCTACAGGGTCGGCAGCAGAGACACAAAAGTGATTTGAGTAAGCCCCATTCAACTTTCTATTCTAATTGCTTTTGCTCCCCAGTATAGAAGTTAAAGGACTGAAAAATTAACTGTCAGGGAAATGGTTGCTTCTGTGATGAAAAGCTGCCTCTTAGAAGCCAAATACACAGGTATACAGCTCCTCTTATACAGAATTTGCTCAGAAAAACAGGTTGGAACTAATTTTGCACCCATACCCCCACTATAAGTGAAAAGTTTCACAATATGTATTTTAAATAATTAGTATCTTATATTTGAGTTCTAAAAGAAAATCAGATCATGTTTTTAAAAATGGGCAAAAGGCATGAAGGAAGGCAAAGGTCAAACCTAATATTGAAAGAGCATGTGCTGCCTTCTTTCTGGGTTGCTGTGAACAAGGGAGGAAACGAACAGCTCTGGAGCATGAAGACACTGGTCTGCTGATATGGACAGCTCAAGAACACGGTAATTAAAAGGTAGCAGGGAGGCAAGATGTGGGTGAAGTCAGTCAAGGCGCTGTGGACCCAGCAGGACTGAAATGGCCTAAGAATCTCGGAGAAGGGCCAATGTTTGCCCACACAGTTGCTTTATCCAACAAGGAGAAGGGCACGATCTTGGAATTGGGTTGTGCTGTGCAAAGACTTTCAGATGAGACTTACATGGTTACTTATTATTTCCCACTTTGTATTTATGCTCATTAAGGGAGATCCTGGTTGTGAGTTCACTGACCCCTCAGCATTTCCCAAAGCCACACGGAAAGGCCATTCAGTCCCCACATAAGTCATCACACAATATAATTCACATTTAGAGTTTATATGGATATTTAGAAAAAAATAGTATAAATATTTGGAGAAAAAGACAAGTATAAACTTACCCTGAACGACAATTTCCCAGAACTGATTTAACTGTTTAGTTTCCACTTTCTCCCGAAGGGTTTTCAGGAAGCTGTTAAAGCGCTGCTCTTCCGAAAACTGTGGTTGTAGGTGGGATAGAGGAGACGGCAAGTCAGAGCAAACACAAAACCAAATCCAGTCCCAGATCAAACTACCACGTGCTTTCAATTACCATATTAATTAAAAAGATAAGTGCTCTTGGCTGGGCTCGGTGGCTCAGCCTGTAATCCCAGCACTTTAGGAGGCCGAGGTAAGTAGATTGCCTGAGTCCATGGGTTTGAGATCAGACCAGGCAACATGGCAAGACCTCGTCTCTACAATATAAAAACCAAAAATTAGCCAGGCATGGTAGCACGCACCTGTAGTTCCGGCTACTAGGAAGGCTGAGGCGGAAGGATTGCCTAAGTCCAGCAGGTGGAGGCTGCGGTGGCTGTGAGCGTGCCACTGCACTCCAGCCTGGGCGATAAGAGTGAGACTCCAACTCAAAAAAAAAAAGAAACACAGTAACCTGGTACTTTTAAGGGCATTCGGTGACAATCATGCACTCCATCTAACTGGGTCAAAACAAAACAAAACAAAAAACCCCCCCAAAAAAAGCACATTTAACTACCTCTTTCTATCTAATAAATTATTATTTTTTAGTTGGAGCACTCTGCCGCCCAGGCTGGAGTGCAGTGGCACACTCACAGCCACCCCAGTGTCAACCTGCTGGGCTCCGGAGATCCTTTCGCCTCAGCCTTCCAAGTAGCTATAGGTGCACGCTACCATGCCAGATAATTTTTTTGATTTATTGTAGAGATGAGGTCTCACCAAGTTGCCCAGGCTGGTGTCGAACTCGCAGGCTCAGGCAATCCTCTTGCCTCAGTCTCCCAAAGTGCTGGGATTACAGGCTGAGCCACTGAGCCTGGCCTCTAATCAAATCTTTATCCATCCAACTGAATCATCTATAGTCTTGACTTTTCCAAAATTTTGTCTTTTTTCTGTAGGATATTCAGGTCATCTACTTCTGAATCTTTTATTCTAATCTAATTTTAATAATTTTTTCATTTTCTTGTCATTCTTTTTAAGTGTCTAAATTATTTAAGCATTAATTTGTTCTTTCATTCAGCAAATATTTAATAAGCACCCACACAAGAATACGCACTACAACTGTGCCTACTTTAAAAATATACTTTCTAGTTTAAACTTGCTCACCTCTTGCCTAGAAGTATAAAAGTCTGTACATAATTTTAAAAATATTTGGAAGTGTTTTCTAAAAATTCCTAACAAAACAGACAAAAAAAATTCCTAACAAAACACAGAAGCTGGGGAAAGAGGGGTGGTGAACTGAGTAGTTTTCAGTGCTCACTCAGATCTCTACTGCTGTCTTCATAAAAACCTGTCTCAACAATAATTACACCAATTTACATTTTCCATCAATTTCCCTAAAACTGTTAGCCCACCAGAGGTTATGATGGAAACGATGGAAATTTCCTTGGTTCCCTAAATAGGAACAGAAAACCAGGGCTTTAGTGTAATAAAAGGCCAACTTCCAGGGATAGAACACACCAACCACACACCTTTATTCCCCTCAGAAATGACAATGACAGCAATATGAGTTTAGTCATTTTTACTTCCCTTGGCATACAATGCTACTCACCAGAATGACTATTCCCAAAGTCCAGCCTTATTTCTGGGATGCCGTGTGTCCCTCCCCTGTGATGGTGGCCAAGTGTTTAGCAGGAAGAGAAGTAAGGCAAGGACACTGTTACCTGAATGGCTTCTTCACGGAAGGCTCGGATGCAGTCCATGCTCTTCATAAAATACGGTGTTTCATTAGTATCCAAAAACTGTTCAATGTGATTTATCAGCTGGCGACTCACTACAAGATAAGATGATACATTTTCCCAGACTTGAGTGATGCTTGTTATAGACAGGGTACGCCTCTGTGTGAGCAGCAAGTATGCATGATGGTTTATGAACCCACACTTCTTTTAGGGGGAGATGGGATGAAAAATTCTCATTTTAAAAGTGTATATTTGAAAAGTCTGAATCACACGTCTTGATACTTGACAAGAAAGAAAATCTAACGGCTAAAATGGTAAAATTCGTTTAACATTCCTCATTGGGAAGTCAAACAGTAGTTGTGGTGGCTGTTTTTCAAACTATTGTTGTCGTTACTTTTTATCCCCCCCCCCCCCGAATGTAGGGACCATTTGGATAATCTAAAACTGTCTTTCCTGATATATTCACAGAAAACAGAACCTCTAGTCCCTCCCTAGGTCAATTCAGGATAATTTTTTAAAATTATTATTATTTATTTTTATTTTTTATTTTTTTTTGAGTTGGAATCTCACTCTGTCGCCCAGACTGGAGTGCAGTGGCCACCCCCGGCCTCAGTCTTCCAAGTAGCCAGAATTACAGGCGCACGCTACCACGCCCAGCTGATTTTTTGATTTATTGTAGAGATGAGGTCTTGCTGCCCAGGCGGGTCTCGAACCCACGGGCTCAGGCAATCCACTCACCTCAGCCTCCCAAATGCGCAGGATTACAGGCTGAGCCACCGAGCCCGGCTAAAATTATTATTTTTATTTTAAAGATATGAGGTACAATTCAGGGTTTCAACTCAGGATAATTATTAAACAGTTCCAGGAAGTGAAAAATAATGAGCCAGGTACATCCTATCTTCTACCAATCCCAGGTTAAATTAGAAAGAGCAGCCCCAGTCAACATAATATCCCTTTAGAACAAGAAATCATTATTTCTCTCTCTCTTATGCCCTTAGTAGGACCTGAGTATTCACCCTGTTGCTTACCGCTCTACAAACCATAAAAACTTAATAAACAGTAATTGTCAGCAAGCAATGTCATAAATGCTATGGAAAGAGAAGATACATTAATAATGTCACCATTTCCAAGGTGGGTTACAACTTGAGGTTGCCTCACCAACAAAGAAACAAAACATTCTTCAGTATGGAAAAATATCCGACAGAAAGTCAACATAAAAGTCACCGGGAAACTCTATTTGCTGTGCAGATCAACTGACCCTTAAGACCCGTGTACAAGACCCAACCAAGGAAGTGTGAGCATTCATTGCCTAAAGGCTCCTTCCCCTCTGTCTCCTGAAACTGCTCACTAGCTGGCTGTCTGGCAATTTATGCTGAATGGTCAAGATATTCTAAGACTGTATGTTTCCCAAAATTGTGGCCTCATTTGAGCACTCTAATAGCTACGTGTGTATGCATAATACTACTTTCAAGTTTCACCAATAAAAGCCCAAGGCTACTAATGCTATGAATCACAGTGACCTGAACCTCAGTGCCTCCTGAAAGACATGAAATCAGTACTACCTACTTATTTCCTAAGGATCTCAGAGCAGTGGAAAGGATTAAAGGATAGGATGAAGTATTTTTTCTAATTATAGCAATTTTCTAGCATGGGAAAAATATCCCAAATAACCATTTTATCTCTTCTACCAACTAAGATTATGACCTCCATTAGAAGAAAGCACTTAATAAACTTGAAGGACTAAAGAAACATTCCTCTGCAATTTCAGAAATATTTACTAATGTATCCTGTAGCAGTAAATTAATATCCAACTATGATTCAACAGAGTTTAGAAAGAATGTTCAGAGGAATCTTTTTAAACAAAGTAAATAATACAACCTTGATTAGTAGGCAGAACAGAAAACTAGCAACAAGAAGCTCAAAGCAAATAGACGTTATCTCCCTTTTTCAGCTTGAAAGGCAAAGTAACAGAAATGTTTGATAAGAGAAAGCAGCATATTTTCTCAGATCGCTTGACATGAAGGTCACTACAAGTTATATATCTGGGCACAAATAAAAACCTTTACAGGCCAAGAGTAGTAATCTTAGTAATTCTATGTTCCCCATTTCTTCTGAAATGAAAATGAGGAATCTTTAGAAGCTATAATGTAAATGTTTCTCTTTGATTTATTGATATTTTCATTAATTTATCCGACTGTTTATTGGGTAACAACTACATAGAAGACACTATGCTGTGTTCTGCTGGAGATACAATTAAGCTGAAGATAAGACCCTTTCCTGGCTTTGGCCCCTCCTCTACCTTGGGGAGGTGAATCAGTCTCTTTAAGTTCCTTTCTAAATAAAGTATATTTCCCAATCTAAAAAGAAAAGACCCATTCCCTTAAGGTTATAGTCTAATAGGGGACATAATACATATACACACACAAAAAAAATAGAAAGTAAGCAGTGAAGAGGACTGTGAGTGTTATAAAAATACATCAGTTGACCTGAATTTTTAAAAACATTTTGATTATTGAAAGCTTCATGAATGAATCTGGCTTTTAGCTAGGCAATGAAAAATGGAATCTGAATGATTCCAGCAAGAAACAGCAATGGGATGGGCCTACAAATGAAGAAGCGAGATAAGAAAACACAGGGTGAGTCTGGAGAAAGGGAAATGGCCCAGTACATGGGCAGGAGTAGCAGTATGGGGAGAAAAGGAGGAGTAAGAATTAGACGAAGGGCTGGAGGGAAGGGAGCTCCAAGAAGAAAGTACAGTATGTGTGAGAGTCCTGAGGCAGGGTAGGGCTTGGCTCCTTAGAAAGTGTGGAAGAAACAAGGGGTTCAAGTGAAAGCCTTTTAGGAACTACATCTAGAGGTTGGAAAGAGGAAAGGAAATGGAAAGAGGAGGCTAAGAAGGAATCGTGAGAAGGAGAGTCAGGAGGACATGGTATCACAGATACAAGAGAAGAGATTATGGAAAAAGAGCACAAGAAATTAGGGATAGAAACGTCAGGAATTCTAGGAGCTAAGAGCCCATGAAGCAGCTAGAGAAGTACTGAACTGCTTCCCCAAAACACGCAGCTTCCTGACTTATTTTACCCTGAAACATGAAGAATACATACAGTTGCCATCTTACAGAGATGAATATTCAAAAGAGACCAATAAAGCAAATGTCAAAGCCCACAACCCATTTGCAATAATGATCTAGGAAAGAAGGTATACAAAGAAAAGTAGGAATCTCAATACCCAGTTTCTACTGAAGAATCAAGTCCTCATGTGTCTGTGGGCCTATTTGGATTTACCTGTCAGACTGTTCTGTCCTTTCCTCCAGAGGGTTCAGAAACACAGGACACACATCTGAATTCCAACAAATCCAATGAATACAGAGAAGCAGATTTGGGCTTTCTAGCAATAATCACTTATATGGCCTGTGCACCTGGCCAGGATTCTCAACTCTCTCCCACTATCTAGACTCCTTTGTGGTTCACTGACTACAATGGACCATTCAACACCAGGGAACAGCCATGATAGATGATGCTTTAATATGTTGAATATCAGGGATGTAGACAAGAAACTTCCCTTCCAAAGTTTGGTGGTACTTCACATTCCTCTGCCATTTTCAATCAAAGTAAAATGCAGAAATGGCTGACAAAAATAATATTCTACTTTGGCTAGATTATATTTTTGACTCCCCCGCCAACCCTTGCCCCGTATAAAGAAAATGCTGATCACCAGGGTGCTTCTCTCCTTCAACATCAATTACAGGGCTAAGGAATGGCCTGTCAGTCTTCATACTCAGTAAATCACAGCCCCAATTATAATTCGCCACAATGTTCTAAAGAATTAGCCAGTGACTCAGTAATACTCATTAGCAGCTAATATAAAAACTGGCTATTGGAAGGGTCATCCATCTTAGGATACTAAGTAAGGCAAAGGGCTGACATTTATTTCAAGGATTACTTCAAAATGTCTGTTCTGGATTTTGAGGTTTTAAATGTGGGTATTTCACATTAACCCAGAATCTTGTATGAGTACAGATACTGATACATAGAACTAGTCTCAATACAGTATTCCTTCAGTATCACATTCAAAATGTTATCCAGGTTCAGAAATCTTATGAAAGAGAAAAATGGCTGCATTTTCTTGTTTAATCTGAAAAACAAATTCTCCCTCTCTACAGAAAACATTCAGCACTATCAAAAGTCCTACAATTAGCCGGGCGTGGTATCACGCGCCTGTAGTTCCAGCTACTCGGAAGGCTGAGGCGGAAGGATCACCAGAGCCCAGCAGGTGTAGGCTGCGGTGGCCAGGAGCCACTGCACTCCAGTATGGGCGACAGAGTGAGACTCCAACTCAAAAAAAAAATAAAGAAGAGCCGGGCTCGGTGGCTCAGCCTGAAATCCCGCGCCTTTGGGAGGCTGAGATGAGTGGATTGCCTGAGCCCAAGGGTTCGAGACCCGCCTGGGCAGTGAGACCTCATCTCTACAATAACTCAAAAAATCAGCCAGGCGTGGTAGCTTGTGCCTGTAATTCTGGCTACTTGGAAGGCTGAGGCGGAAGGATCGCCAGAGCCCAGCAGGTCAAGGCTGCCGTGGCCGGAAGCGGCCACTGAACTCCAGTCTGGGCGACAGAGTGAGACTCCAACTTAAAAAAAAAAAAAAGTCCTACAAAACGGTCTACCTCCCCTCCTGCTGCATGGCCACAAGGGCCAAGATACCCAGGGCTAAGTGCTTGTCTGCCTCTGACTTGACGTTTACTCACTGTCTGTTCTTTGCAAAAATGCTTCCAACAAAATGAAAGGAAGTCATATATTATGGGTTTCCTCCCTTCATCTGACAGAGTCAAAAAAAGCAGTAGGTTCCCTCATCTGTCACACATTATATATAAAGAACTACAAAGACTTCTCTAACGATTTTGCTGAACTCAAGCATCCTTCAGGATGTTTCCCAATTTAATTCTTCTCACTATCTCAGTGCTTCATGTGAATTTTACTTATTAAAAAGCTGTACATTTTGCAAGTGTCAGCAGTTAAGTCATTTTTAAATGTTAAGAACAAATTTATATAGCCAATGACAATGGCATCTTTATAAAACAAAATTTTAAACTGATAATA